AGAAAAACATAACAGGGAAGGGAAAATTTTAAAGTTAAAGCACCATGAAAGTCATTGCAATGTAAACATGATGGAAAATTAACCCCTATTTTAACTAGAAAATTACATTGCAGCAGCAGGCTCATTGGGAGAGCGAAATTTGAAGTGTGGAATGCGGGTCCAGTGCCCCATTCTGCAATGCAGAAGAATTAGCTGGAATAAAAGAAAAATGTACATTAAAACATGTTTGGGTTTTTTTTTTTGTGAGAGAGATGCTCAGTACTGTTAGAACAAGAATCTGGGTGGGTCACTATGACAATTGGCCCCATTACAGTGAGTGGTGACACTAAAAATATGTTGATATGTTAATATGTTAATATGGGATCAAAGCTCATCTCCATACAGACAGAAGTGCACGAGGAGAAAAAGGCAAGAAGGGGAGCCCAGGTAAAACCCTGACGTGGATACTATCCCAGGAGACATCAACCCCTCAGTGGTTCATCTCCACACAGGGGGAGGAACAGAGTGGGGGAACCTCAAAAACCTCCTTAGAGCAATGAAGCCTCATGCTGGCCCCTCCAAGGGCAGCCTCAGGGGATTGCCAGCCCCAGCTCCCACCAGTGACACCAAGTGAGATAAAATTGCCCAGAACATCTCTCCAGGCCACTTCATTAACAGAGGGGTCACAGCATGGGGGAATGGGACACTTCATAGGATGCAGTGGAAGGGCTTCTTGGGTCTGTACCAAATTTAAGGGGTGTTTTGTGAAGGAAATAAAAGCTGGGAAAGGGAGAAATCTAGGTGGTTTGGGAAGGAGGAAGTGTGGGAATTAGGGAGAAAGGGGACAAAAAGGCACTGATGCAAACTGTTTCTTGCCCACATATTTTTCCAGCTGTGCCCTCTGCCTGGCCATCCCAGTCTGTCCTGCCTTCCCAAAATACTGCTCCTGAAGGCTTACCTGTGTTTGAAGGTCTGAGTGGCAATCACTGAGAGAAGACCACTGGCCTAGGTCAGAGGTACTGCTTGGTGCTTCTTATGATGTGAAGCAAGATCTACTTTCCCTGTGAGGAATGGGTTATCTTTCTTCCATCAGTGTTAAAATTTAATTTAAATAATTGTAGAACTTAATTTTCTTAATTAAGGAGTAATTACTGAATAAAGAACTTGAACATAGACTTTAGCAGAAGAGATGTGAAGTACCCACAAGAGTAAGTGTGACTGTAGGTACATTATTTGATGGTTTTCTGGGTCTTTTAATATTTTTCTTAAAAAAACCCCTGAACATCCAAACAACCCAGTGATCCTGGACAACCGGGCACATCATATGGAAAGCATTTAGCAATAAGTGTTGGTGTCATCATACAGGCATTTGAACAGAGAGTGGTAGAGTCCCTCCTCTGCCACAGTCTTCTAGTGTGAGCTTAGGTTTGCTCTTTAAATGCTTCGCACTGTGATTTTCCCGTTTGTATAGGTGAGATGTAACTGCTCTTCCTTAACTCACAGTAATTTTGTTTGAGGCTAAAAGATGGTATGGGGTGAAGTGCTAAAAGCTCTGCCATTGAGAAAGATGCAAGTGGGTAGGTGAAATGACAGTCTGCATAAAAAACCCAAAATCTTTACTAGTGAACTGTGCAGAGGGAGGTGCTTGGAAAAGCTGGGCAGATAGAAAACTAGGATATCATTGTTGATTGTTATTTTATAAAGTTTTTAATTATTTTTTCTCCACTTAAGCATTATATTTATCCCCATGTTTCCCATTTTCTCTTTCCCATTTTTTCTGGCACTGAAGTCACCAATAGGCATTTGAGCCAGAGAATCCCAGATCTAAACTGTTTCAAAGGCTGGAAGATGAGGGATGAAAACAGTTTTGGCTCCTAAAATGTAAGGTCAGCTGGGGATTCAAATTCCACTTAGTTTTGGACTGTGTGATTTTGAGATTCCAGTTCAAGCCCATCTCTCCAGTCATAAGGTGGAATTCATGACATTAAAATTCTTTCCACAGCATGAAAGGGATGTCATCATAAACACTATGTTATGACTTCCCAACAGGTTGTTGCAGAAGAGGAAACTAACCCAGGAACAGCAGGGACATTTAAAAAACATCATGACCTTTGAATAACTGAAAACATGGGAAAATCTAAGTCTTAAAGAAATGAATTTTATTCTAGTTTGGCACTCTGTGCAAATCCCTGCATAAAGAGAAATTTAGGCCAGGGATTTCTACTCTGCTGCCTCTTTAAACTTCAGGCACAGTTTTGCATATAAATATTCTAAATCTGAGATCTTCATGTACCCTAAACAAGCATTGATGCTTCTAAAGTGTTGCAATTAATTAGGACAGTGTCATTGTGAGAAAGGCAACCACAGTAACACTCAAGCTCTGAATCTGGACGTGGAAAAAATAACAAAGTAGAAACAAAAACAAAGAAAAGAAATAGAGTCTGTGTTGGAACCTTTCTAAAAATTATATGCAAGAATACAGATGGAGAGAGTGCTGGCTTCTGTTCATGTCTAACATGATCAGCAGATAGATGAGTGTCTTGGAGATGTGAGAAGTGGGCCAGAGAAAGTGCCAGACTGCCAGCTGGGATTTCAAGGAGTGTTTGTGGTAAGCCACAGTTAAGATCTTTTTTTTGCTGTGGCCTGAGTGCTGTCTTAGAGACCATGAATGGAAACTTAAGGACCAAATATTTTGGGGCTGGTCATGATTTCAAATAGCGATCCCATTTTCCAACCTTTAAGCCATTTCCCTTTTAAATATTGTAAGCACCACCGAATCAAAAAAAAACAAACAACAAGCCAGTCTCACTTCACCAAAAGGCTTGTAGCACACAGACCACGGTATTAATAAAGGAAAGGGCTGCATAGATATTCTCCCCTTCCCAAGTTTTAAACTTGTAATTACCTTTCAATTCTCCTCAGCTTTAACTATCCCAGGAAATTCTTTCTTTTTGCTTCTCCCTACCCTGCTACTACTAGCAATGCCCTCAGCCTCCCAACTTCTTCTCCCAGTAGATATTTTATGTTTCAGTTGTCACTTTCAGTCTGTGAGATTCTGTCCAGGCTTGTCCAAGTGTTTTAGACTCTTTTCTTTTCCCTTTCACCACTATTACATAAGGAGACAGTGAAAGACAAACCTGGTAAAATTCCTGCTGTGAGTATGTGTATTCAGGCTTTTGTGGACAAAAGTGGTGGTTTCCTTATTCCCAGACTTGCTGGAGTGAAGAATGAAAAGGATGAAAGCCAAAAAGGAGATATAGTGTTTATGCCATTGAAAGTATCTCAACCCTTTGGTTGGTGTTAAGTCCATTGACTCAGCCATGGACTTTTTCTTATTTGCTCAAAGAGAGAAGCTGCAATTCCAATTTGACAGGTGACAATGTTATCTTCCTTGCTTTCTGTATTTTCTGGAAATCTGGTACTGCTTTCTTAGACCATCCCAGGTTCTCAGCATAAAAGCAAGATCTGGAAAGGATTGTTTGATATTCTGATTTGCAGCAGAACTTGAACTTACCCAGAAAGTGAGGAACCAATTGGCCTGCAGCTTATGCTTTTTAATCTGTTAAAAATCCTCTACCAAATGGGAAACATCAGGAAAGGAAAGGTTCCCAGATGTTGGAATGATGTTCCAGAACTCTAGGGGAAAATAGTCATTCAGGCCTGAGCATTTACTGCAGATGTTGGGTTATTTTATAGGCTTGATTCAAAGCCTGTTAAATTCAACAACCATCTTTAACTTGAAAGGTTTTGGATGAGGCCTATGCATATGGAGGGATCTTAAGTGACAGCTGGTCTGAGCAGGACTGATAGAAACTCTTTAGAGAGTGCCATTGAAAGATATTTCCAAACAGAACACCCATGGAGTATTTCTGTCTCTATACTCATGTATTGGGTTAACGTTCACTGCTCCAGAAAAGGGCCCAGCACTCTGCCTCTTAGTGCTCCAGCACCATTTACAAGCTGGATAGGGAGAAAAGCCCCTTTTCCAGTTGGATTTCCCCTTTAGGACAGCTTTATGTGCTTGTATAATAGGAAACAGCCCTTTCTATTTCTGTTCAAGCTCCAGAGGCTTGGATTTCCCCCAGAATTTTTGATTAACAGCTAAGCTGAAATCTGCTGAGCCTGGGGTCTCCTTTGCCTTACTGACACATAATAATATCCTTTCATCTGCTATTCCAAGCCAGTTCCTGGTTCTGTCAAGCAGCTCACTCTCTCCAAGAGAGACCGTGTCAGTCCCTCTCTCTTTCTTAGAGCTTCCTGAGCTGTTTCAAACAGGATTTCCATCACAAAAGGGAAAACCTCTTTGACTGCCTCTGAACCAGGCTCCAAAGAACATTGTATTATGCAGGCTATGAGATGGATTTTGTTAAAGGTAATCAGCTTCTGTATGCTCAGGTGCACTTCAGGTTTACCTGAGTGGCTCAGGGGCCAGCACAGTAAAATCACAGCAGTGGATTTTCACAGTGTCTCATGGAAATTGAAGCACTCCCACAGCACTAGCTGGGATCTACACATTGTTCCTCACAATCAGTCATACAGAGAAAATCCCTCTGTGTGGTTTGAACTTGAATAGATTAATTTCTTGGAAGTGGAGGACACAAAACTAACCCAAATAAAACTTATTTTCAGTTTTATACAGGCTGCCATTTAATCATCCCTGAATTAACTGAGTCGCATAGAATTTTTTTGTTCTATTTCTGGAAACTTGGTGCAGCTTGATAGCACTGGCAATGTAAACAACAAAAACTGTAAAAAGTGAATGGTGAAATGGTAAGATTACTCATGCATGAACTGCATAAGTAGGAATGCACCCAGGACACAGCCAAAGCTCAGATGGAGTTGAAACTATCAAGGGAGGTTTTGTGTGTACATTGTTGGAAGAAAGGGCAAAGACAGCGTGAATCCATTGCTCACTGGGTTCAGGGTCCTAGTAACAAGCAACAGGGAAAATCATGCAATTTACAGCTCAGATTTTATAGGTAAGACTTGTCCTCAGGCCTCCCAAGTTTCTGAACCTCCTATTAGAGTCTGTCAGTACCCCCAGGAAAAAGAGCTGGGGATCCTCTCACCCAACTGAGGCACGCAGGTGTCACAATCCACAAGGTGGGATTCGTGTACAGAGAAAACCCAGGATCAACAGATCTACTTTTATTATTTGGGTTTTCCAGAAGCCTGTCCAGTCTTTCTATTGGGCTTATGGCAGCTATCGTTATCTGGAGAAGGATAGCGGTGGGTTTAAGCTATTCTGGAAGACCACGAATTAAAGGGGTCATAATTTCAGCCTTCACGGGTAACAACATTGGTGATTCAGAACCAACAATTAATTTTCTTTCATGAATCAGTTGTAGACAAGCTGCCTTATGAATGTTTTCTATAATTTGGTCTGGGGAGCTGGTCAGAGCTACAGGATCTCCCCTTTCCAGGGGGTTAAGTCCCCCTGCCCAATATGCAGCTCGCTGGGTTAGGGACCATGGGTTGCAGTTATCTCCTGTTGTTAAGAAAACACCATGTCCCCAGTAACCACTTGCTTCTTGTTCTGTTAATCGAATTTGATCTCCCCCTGTAAGAGACACTCGGAATACGTATTCTGTCTCTGACTCATGAGGGAGACGCCCATACTCCTTTTTCAACTTAGACAATTCAGTAGCAGTGTACGGGATTTCTTTAGTGGTTATATGTGGATCAAGATCTTCATCATTGATATAGTTATATTCTGTTTTAATCAAAGGTCTTATTTGGGAGCAACAGTTTTCACCACAATTTTTTACCAAATGTAATTCTGCTTGAGGATATATGTGATTTATCTGAGGGGTTTCTTTTTCCAGTGACTCCTTAAAGGAATCAGCAGACTGTGAATTTTTGGCACACTCCTCACTGAGAGCAGTTCGTAAGAAATGAATTTCATTTTTGCAAACTTTCAACTAAATTTTGTAGGGATTGTATAATTGCATTCTCTTCCTGCCTTCATCTCGTGCAAGCCTCTACAGCTAATGTAAGGCAAGCTCCCAATACAGAACAAATTATGGTTTTATTACGGCCAAATTTGAACTTTGCCTCATGTTGCAGGGAGCAAATTCTATCAGTTACATTTTCCAGGTTGAACCAATTATTTTGAGCCCATTCTTCCCCGGCTGTGGAGGGCTTAGCATTGTGCTTTGCTAACAAAGCAATAAATGCAGCTTTATCTTTTATACTAGAGTTTTCAGAGTGTTCACTCATCTTTGTGTGTGAAGGGTCCAGTACCACTACAGGGAGGTAAGACTTAAGTTACGCACAAACGCAGCCTTTGCCACGTCACCCTTCGCGTCCCTGTATGGATGAAGAGACCAAATCTGCTTGGGAGGCACCCCTTTATGTTAAAATTCAGGTTGTCTCTTCACTACACCAAGCAGTCAAAATTCATCAAAAACACATAACAGTACACAGAACCACTACAGGGAGGTAAAACTCAGACACACTACATCAGACGCAGCCAACACTGCATTCCCCCCTGCCGTGGGTGGAGAGACCAAATCTGCTTGGGAGGCACCCCTTTATCTTAAAATTCAGGTTGTCTCTATGCTACACCAAGCAGTCAGCATATAAAACATCAGTAAGTCCACCTTTTGTACGCAAAGATCCCTTGTAAAATTCTGAAGACAAGGCCCTCAAATGAGTGTAGGGGTGCTTTTTACCTGGGCGTGTGCAGTTTGCGAGAAATTCGAGTCGCCTCCCTTGCTTTCTAGACACTGCTCACCAGCGTGGCAGGCTAGGGGCGGCTGAAGCGAAACATCCTTCCCCTGATACAGACTGCACAACAACCTGCAACCCCTTCTGTCTCTCAGAATCCTGTCCGTGACGCCAATTTATGTCACGATCCTCAAGGTGGGATTTGTGATATGGTTCTTTTAGTCGGTCTTAGAGTACAAAAGATTATCAGCAAACCAAGGACTTAAACAGCAAAACACACTTTACTGAGTGCTCATTAGAACTAATTTGCAATAGAGAGAAAAGAGGAGAAAGCAAAGCATAAGAAAAAGAGAGTAAGGGGATTATAGCTACCAACGTCGAAGTCCACTCAGCCGTCCAACGACACAGAGTCTTCTGTCCGTTGGGGAGATCTCAAAGGAAGGTAAGTTTGGAGTATTATTTTATAGTCTTTTGCAAAGCTAGGGGCACAGGGCCAAAACCAGATGAAATTGATGATCATTGTGATGAAATCCATTGCGCAGGGGGCAGGTGTAGGGTACAGAGCAATCCATGTCTTGCAAGTCTTTGCTCACCAGCAGGAACGAGAGCAGTGTACCGTGCGACCACCTGCAGTCACTTAGCAAACATCCACCTCAGCTAGGCCCAAATCCCCAAACCAAGTACCTTGTGATATTCAGGGTCTCAGTCTCTGTCCTTGAGACGGTTGTGAGACAGATGAGGGAATCTTCCGACCGTCTCTTACAGCAGGTCCATCACAACACATAAGGGGGCATCCGAGGCTGTTAAAGGAGCTGGCTGACGTCACTGAGGAGTTAACTTCTATCCCCTTTGACAGGTTCTGGCAATGAGGGAAAATTCTTAATGCCTGGCAAAAGGCAGATGTTATGCCAACCCCAAAAAAGAGTAAGAAGGATCAGTGTACTTGCAGCTGGCCATCATAACTTCAGTCCTTGGGAAAATTGGGGAGCAAATGCTCTGAAAAGTTACTTTTTATAGACATGAAGGATTAGAAACTAGAGGGAGCCAGAATGGATTTACCAAGGGAATGTGTGGCCTTCCCAGCTTCATTGCTTTCCATGATAGGGCCTAACATTGTGGACAACAGGAAGGAGAGGGATGCTGAATGCCCAGACTTTCATCAGGCCCTCAAAACAGTCTCTTGTAGTATCACAATGGGTTAAGAGATATTGTGAGATATAGCTGAATAAAAAAACTGAGTAAGCTTTTCCTATTACTCTTTACCTTCAGCATATCAGACCCTGAACCATTCTCTAAATGACATGAATTTTTTTTTTTTTGCACTTTTCTTCATTGCAGGACAAGATGGACAATACCTATTCTAAGGAAAGTTAAGACCTTCCCTGTCTTGGTTTTGGAAGACAGGTGTCTGCTAGGGAGGGCAGGAGCCTCCCTTGGAATGAAAATGTAGACTCCCTCTCTCCTATTTATTATAATTTTGAAATCAAGGGGCTTTCAGGCAGAGATCTGGGGATAGGAAAAACAGTTCTTCACCAGTATTTATAACAAGGCAAACAAACAACAATAACTACAACATTAACAACAAAACAGAACCAGGGACCCTGTGACAGCTTTCTCGGCCGACGGGAAGGGATGGAGAGGCTTTGTTTCACAAACCCCCTCGGGCAGTCAGTCCCGGTGCTCCTGCAGGGCTCCGAGGAACACTCAGCTGGAACAGCAGGGATGAGCTGAGATCCTGGGCTGGTGGCTGAGGTGTATCAGCAGCTCCGCGGCGGTGCCTGGCACTGCCACACGTCCCAGCAGGACAGGGGGTGCGAGGCCACCAACAAAGAGGGAAGAAGGAGAAGCAGCAGCTCCATCTGGGTGATGGCGAATTCCCTTCTCTCCACTGCAACAGCTCTCAACAGTGTCCTCCTGTGAAGCTGAAGAAGCCCGCAAAACTGTCCCCACCCTCCCCTTTTCCTGCCCCCCTTCCCCCCTGGGCCTGGCCGAATTCTTTGTGTTTTCTCAAGCACCCACCAAATACCTGCAGTCAGGTTTTCCCTGCAACGAATGGATAAAAATTCCACAGGTGAGCCAGAACTAAAAGAAGGACACCTACCCCCCAACATTCCCAAATACAGAACATGCCACCTAACTGAAGTCATGTGGAGACAGCAGTAGATGAGTAGTCTACTTTCTAGTAGACAGAAAGACAAAAGTGTTTAAAATGCTTTCCCCTCTGGTAATCCTCATAGAAGACTACAGTTAAAAAGGGAATTTGGGTCAGAATAATTTAACAAAGCACTTATTTAAGCTGCACAAATGTCACCCAAGCTCATTCCTACTTCCAAGTAAGTACCAGTTAAAGACAGAGGGACATAATGATGAAGGGATCATCTTCCCACGCTATCAACCCAAGCTCAGCATTGAGGAAAGCTCAGTCAACCCCCAAGCAGTTGTACCCATTGAATATTCTTCCAGAATATCACATTTATGCTTTAAATGAGGTTCGCCACATTTTCTGGCATTTTTCCCTAAGGATACACATCTGTCCATCCTGCTTCCTAATAACTCATGAAAACTTCAGATATTTCATTAACAAATACGTAATTGACAATTATATTGCTCCTTCTTATACAAACAAGGACAATCAGGTAATGACTTCAACCATAAACTCACTCAAATTGACAGAACAGAAGAAACAACAGAAGAACAAAACTATGAAAAGGAAAAGCAGAGTATGGCATTACTGCAGTGCTAGATTTTGTCTGGGTATTCAAACAAAAATAGTTTGTTTTTTTAAAAAAATGTGTCTTCTCACTTCCTATTCAACACTTTCACTACATAATGTCAAGTATGTCAGGATATCACCAAATACCTTCATGCTGACCATCAGGTTATACTTACATAGAGTCTGTGTGTGTCCTTCTCTGGCAGATACCACTTAATGTCACTGCTTTAAATGCCGTTTTTAGAACTGGCTTTTATTTGTTGCCAGATGAGGTCACAAACTGCTTCCTGCCAGTTGCTAGACATTTTCCTAAAACTCAGAAGTGACAGCAGATGTACTTTCTGGTGTTTGCTTGATTGCTTTACGTAAAAGGAAGTGTTTGGGGAGACATGAAGCCACTGGACACTGACTAAGAGGTTGGGAAATGTCCATCCTCTAAGCAGTCCTTGCAGCACAGGGAGATCTCAGCCACTCCAAGCTCCAAGCAGACAGCTGTCTCACTTTAAGGACTGATCTTTCAGGATGTCAGGATGCTTTATCACCACTTGCCACAGTGCAGTGCACATGCTTCACACCAGTTCCTTGCCCAGAATCAGAATATAATGCCCAATTTTTGCCCAGAGGCAAAGTATCAGAGAAAGTTTGCAGTCCTGTGATGCAAGTATGGCCTGGCAACATGACCCTGTTGATACTTCCCTGGGATACTTCCAGGGACTTCTCCCTGCCCTGGCAAGACTGCAGCACCCCATCACTCTAGGGGTGGGTGTCAGGAGACATCCCAGCATTTTCCCACTCATACTTTCCATGATCTGTTCATGTGAGGACCTTTTGTTTATTCCTCAGAGTCCCTGTGTAAACTAACTCCTGATCCCCTGTGGTACAGGCAGCCCATAACTCTCACAGTCCTCGGAGTGAAGGCCGTGGGAACATTTGCCAGCTGAACCAGAGGGTTTCCCCTGTCACATCTGCTCTAGAACACTGACAGATCAGGTTAAGTGTGATATTGGCATCCACTACATCTGCACAGGCTGACACAGTGCTTTAAATTGTCTGAGACATCAAGATGAGACCCTAGTTGACAGCATGAATAATATATTTTTTTAAAAAACATAAGAAAAATTAATTCTTCAGCAACATTCTGTTCACTGGGAAAGGGAAAGTTTTCTCCCAATACTTTACCATCTGAAAAAGACAGTTAATCAAACACAGCTCCTGGTATAAAGGAATAAAATCTGGTATAAAGGAATCAAAGCTTCTCTGATGCAACAATTACCAGATTGATTCTATACACAAAATAAATTCTCAGTGAAAATGGCTTAAGACAGCAAGTGAATGGAAACAGTACCAAATTAGTTTGGTGACCACCTGATCCAAATCAACTCATCCAGATGAGATTTTGTGGGATGCTGTAGTGAAGACAGGTTTTTCTATCCAGTTTCTTTGGAGAGTATGTAATCTTGAAAAAACCTTTGCAGTGTCATTGCTTAGCATATGTCTTTGAGCAGGAAAGCTTAGCTGGCACTGTTCTTCACTCCTTCCACAACAGTGGTCTCTGCAAGGATGAAGCTGAGGAGCTTTCAAGAAATCAAAAGAATAAAGTGCTACTTAAGCCATGAAGGATAGCAATGCAGTACTTTCCTTCAGAGTGCCATGTACACCTTTGCAGACAATTCACCTTTTTCCCAAAACACCTATCATACCTAAGTCCATGCATTGAAGAGGAGATCATGAATCCAACCTCGATGAGGGCAGAGAGGAGGGAGATCTGGAGGGATTGCAGCATCTATGAGGAGTATATGTTAGTCCTCACAAGTGGAGTCTGACACTCAGAAGCTGCCAGCTAATTCCGGCATCCAAAGGAGGCTTATGAAGATGGTGAAGAGCGTAGAGGAGAAGTCATATGAGGAGTATCTGAGGTCCCTTGGCTTGTTCAGATGCAGGAGACTGAGGCCAGAGCTCACAGCAGCTCTGCAGCTTCCTGACGAGGGGAAGAGGAGGGACAGGCCCTGATCTCTGCTGTGTGACCAGGGACAGGACCTGAGGAAATGTCTGGAGCTGGGTCAGGGGAGGGTTAGGTTGGAGTTTAGGAAAAGGTTCTTCCTCCAGAGGGTGTTGGGCACTGAACAGGCTCCCAGGAATGGTCATGGCCCTGAGGCTGCCAGAGCTCCAGGAGCATTTGGACAGCACTCTCAGGGATGCACAGGGTGGGATTGTTGGGCTGTCTGTTCAGGGCCAAGAGCTGGACTGGATGATCCTTGTCTGTGCCTTCCAACATAGGATAGTCTACAGTTTTGATTCTGTGAACTATCTACAATACCCACCTCTGTTTATGCCAAACCACATCCCATGTTTTGATGCCTGCCATGCTGCTGAAGCTCTTCTCAGTTCAAACCAGCACCAGCACAAGCCCCAGTTCACAGTTCCCCACCAAAAGGATTTGGCAGCATACATACCCTTAAGTTTTAGGTCAAACACACCATCCCACATCCTTTGCAGCTCCCCTTTGGTTCCAGG